GAGGGGGCCTCTGCCCCCCCAGCCAGTAGAGCCCAGACACTTGGGTTGTCTCTCTGACAGGCGGACAGTGGAGGCTGCGGGTTGGAGCCCTGCCCGGCTCTGGAGGCTGGGATCTCTGGGCCACGGTGAGGGGGCTCTCACCTGCATCAGCCCTGGACCCTCCCCACTCTGAGTCTGCAGGGGTCCAGGATGGGGCCCAGATCCAGTGCCCCCGGTGGGGAAACACCCTCTCCAACCCAGTCCAGACCCCAGTTCGAGGCCAGCTCGGACCACCTAGAGGGGGAAAAGCCCCTGCCCGCCCACCCTGGCACCCCTGAGGCAGCAGTGGTACCTGGGGGGACGTTGAGGGGGAGGCTGTGGTTGAAGAACTGCTCATTGCGTAGGTCGGAGTCACAGGCGTGGAGCTTGGAGGAGATGAAAGGCAACATCACGTAGCTGCGGCTCTGCAGGCCAAGGAGGTGCTCAGCCCTGCACCCTGCCCGCAGCAGCACGGCCGTCTGCCCCCCGCCCCCACTGCAGATAGCGGGTGGGAGGAACAGCGTGGGTACAGAGCCTGCCAGGTCTCTGCCCCCGCAAGCCCCGCTGGTTCTCCTCCCGACCTGCAGCCCCTGCCCCCCAGCCCTGCTGGTGCCCCTCACTCCTGACCTGCAGCCCCTGCCCCTCCATCCTTGCCGGTGCCCCTTACTCCAGACCAGAAGCCTTTGCTCTGCCTTCAAGGCATGCACTACGTGCCATCAGTCACAGACAACAGCCTGTTGTGTACGTGGCCTGTGGGCATGGGAGCAGATCCCCCTGCCCTCCCTCCTAGGGCTGTGGTTGGCCCAACCCCTTGACCAGGGCCCCAGGCCAGAGAGGCCCCTGGAGCTGGATTGAGGTCCAGGGTCCCAGATCTGGGATGCAGCCAGCTCTGGGGTGGGCCTGCATAAGGGGAAACTGAGGCAGGGCCTTACCAATGGTCCTGGCCATCATCTGCTCTGTGCACATGTTGTGGGCCAGCCCAGGGGTCATCTGGGTCATGTTGGGCTGGACCACGGCCTGCATGTAGGTGCCCTCATGGCTGTAGCAGTCCAAGCTGAGGACCACAGCGGGCTGGGGGGGAGGAGAGGCCGTGGATCCCAGGCATCCGGGCTGTGCACCCACCTGCTCTCATCTTCAGACCCCACTGCCTTTCTAGAGCACACAGGTGTCTGGGTTCCCAGTCCCCCCGCTCTCGGCCCAACCCTGTACTCCCTCCCAGAGCTGAAGAGGACCCAGGTGTCTGGGTTGCAGGGAGGACCCAGGCATTCAGCGCCCCCCGCTACCTTCAATCAGCAGCTCCGAGGCCAGGAGAGCCCAGGGGGCCCACGGTGGGGGGTGGCTGCGAGGCATCGCGGAGCCCGATCCTGTCAGGGGGTCCTGGGGCAGCTGGAGGCAGCTACTTTGGGGTCTGGCCCCTGGGGCAGGTGGTCTATATATGGCTCCCGTCTGCCCCCTTCCCCCCGCCTCTACGCCCCAACCCCTCCCCTGGTGCCACCTCTTGGATTTGCCCCAACACATGGATCTGCCTGGAGGTGCTGGACCCTGAGGGAGGGGGGATCAGGAGCCCCGTCTTCCTGCTCTACTGGTGCCCCTCACTCCTGACCCACAACCCCCTGCCCCCCCAGCCCTGCCAGTACCCCTCACTCCCAACCCCCAGGGGTCGGGGCTGGGTATCATAGGGCCCCTAAGCTGTGGCTGGCCTGAGGTGAGGTGCACACTAAGGGAAACTGAGGCAGGGGCAGCTTGGGAAGAGAACCCAGGAGTCTTGGCACCCGTTACAGACCCCTATGAGACTCTCCCCTGCTCCTCTGCCCCAAGCAGGGATACAACCCCCGTGTGGTTAATACCCCGTCATTGCCAGCCCTGGCCTCCCTTGGAGAAGGACGCGGAGCCCCTTGTTCCCAGGGAGAGAAGCTGCAGCCATGGCCTGTGGGAGATGGAGCTCCGGGTCCTTCTCCAGGGAAGGCTGGTGCCCCTCGCTCCCGACCGGCAGGCCCCTGCCCCAACACCCCTGCCACCGCCCCACACTCTGGACCCACAGCCCCCAGTGTCCTGCCTTTCGGGTTTGGTGGTGGGGTGTTTGCCCCTGGACCCTGCTGTTGGGAAAGGATCGGCCCCTCACAGGTGCTCTGGCGCTGCCCCCACCTTGCTCTCTCCTTCTAGCCCGAGGCTGGGGGTGGGGACCGCACTGTGCCAGCGCTCCTGCTGGCACCAACCCTACAGGGTCCTGGCTAGAGGGTCTTGCCCCTGTGCTCAGGCTCAGCCCAATAATGCGCTGGGTCAGGAAGGGATTTCCTTCCTGCTCAGACTGGTCCGGACTGTGGGGGTTTGCCATCTTCTGCAGCAGGGGCACGGCCTTGGTCTGGGGTCCCTGCAATGTCCATGACCCCCCTGGCAGTAGCAGGATGTCGGCAGCTGCAGCCCCCCTGCTTTCCCAGGGCGGGGGCAATGCCTGGGGCTGGGTCAGGGGTGACCGCGACATGTTGCTATGCAGTCGGGCATGGGTTTGTCCTGGCTGGTTCGGACAAAGCTGATCCTGCCCCAGGCAGGGGCTAGACTAGATGTGACCCTGTAGGTCCCAGTGTGTGTGTGTGTACTGCAGGATCAGAGTGTGTGTTGTGCACACCCCTGGCTGGCCAATGGGGGGGAGGGAGATGGGTGCACACATCCCACACACACACCCTACAAGTCTGCACGCACACGTACACCCATGCATGCACACCTGCTAGACGCGGTGCTGTCCTGGTGGGTCTCCCTGCACCTCCCCACAGCTGAGCCCTGCCCAGGCTCCACTGCCACCCATGATCCCAGGGACTTTGAGGCCAGTTCCAGCCTGGTTGGGCATGAGACATGTCAGAAGAGAAAATCCCAAGATTTGAGAGGTTTATTGCCACATCATGAGTCAGACTTAATTTTACTTAGAAATCACAACTCTTGCAATAATTTTCGAGAGCTGGCATTACTGTATCATACACTTTACAGGCAGATGACATCTGTTTGCACTTGAGCCAAGAATGCCCCTACTCCTGCCCCCTTACTCACACTTACAATACCCCTGACATGGACCATTCCTCCTCTGCCTTTTCTTCCTCCAGCAACTCTCCAACCAGAGGAACTCCTCAAAAATCTCTACCATGATCACCACAGGGATTTTCCCAGGGACAGGGGATGACCACTTTTCTGATATGGGGTAGTACCTGCAGAGGTAATGCATAGTTACCCTCCCACTTTCATTTCCAGTGTGAAGATCTTGGCTTCACACCCACTTTATGGAACTGGGAGACTCCTCCATAGCCGCACAGCCACAGGAGCGAGCTGAGGGCAAGCAAAACCCAGGGGCATCTGAACCCAAGTCTAGTCTTGGGCCTGCAAGCAGGATGCCCACCAGATGATCTGGAAACATCTGAAGCCCCGGGTTGGGGTAGAGGATGTTTGCCAGTAGTAGGACCACATACAGTTCTTGAATGACTCGTGGATTTGGAATACATTTGACTTTGAACACACAAAATTTTCCTTAAAAAAAACAAACACAAGTCTACCTGGCTCTGCTCTGGGGTCTCCTTCACCACCTTTGCTTGGTTTTTTTCTGCTCAAACTCCTCTTCTATCCCCTCACGCCTCTTTTCTTCCCGGTTTTCCCCTTCTTTACCGTATCATTTCCACACATTTCCATAGGAGGCAGAACCTGCACAGGCTGCACCTCCTTCACCTCCCCCCACCCCATTGCACCCACAAAAGGGACTCCTGGGAATAGATTCCTTCAAAAGCCCCCAGCGCAGGGCTCTTGCTGTACAGCACTATATGGAGCAATGTCTCGGGTGTGACAACCCCCACCTCTGAGTGTTAGGAACAAGCCCTTGACTGCAGTGAATCTTCTCAAAAGGGAAGGGCTTGGGACTCCTAGAGATATCTGCCATGAGAAAGGCTCCAGTCCCTGGCCTGTTTCCATTTCACCGCTTTGAGGAGAACATGGAGACCCACCACAGGGATACCACGTTCAGTTCTGGGGCTTTTGCAGCAAGAAAGCTGTTACAGAGAATAGAGTGATGGGAAGGAAGGGAAGGGAATCAACAGGCACCTAGTGGTGCACAGTTGTTGTGAGGGTGAAAAGCAAAACCTGCTAAACTTGGTATGCAAGAGCAACAACAGCATCTTGCAGACACCTGATGGGCATGAGCAGGTTTGAGAAGGGGTTATGTTGATGACACTAAAATGTGGGGCGAGGACACACTTGAAGGGAAA